CTCGATTTCTTTTTTTCTTTAATATATATATATTTCGTTTCGCGAAAATCGCCTTTAAACGACGATTCTTCATCGACATTTGTTCCGATGCGAATCGAATGATATTTTCTACCAATTACGCGCGCGTGTGTAATAGGAAATTTAGAAATTCGCGGTCGAGAAAGGAAGAAAGTATAAGAAGTTCATTAAAATTTTCTAATTAACACAGAGACGCGCACGCATTATCAAATACAAATCGAAATTACAACAATTTCATGCATCTAATTGTTTTTTTTATATGTATATAAATCGGATTTATTTTCTCGCTCATCAAAACGCTAAGTGCAATTTGCAGATTTCATATGAAACGAACGCGAAATGTGAGTCTTTTAATGATGGAATTTATGGTGGATGCGCCGGGTTCGGAGATCGGAGAAAGTGGAATGATTCGAGCCGATGCGAAAATATTCGTTGAATACATTGTAATTTCATAAATACCTATAAAAGGCGTTGTCTCTATTGGACAAGTTTAATTGAAATCGAAGCGCGAATCGAAAATGTAAATTGACTTAATTTAAAAAAATTAATATGGATTTTAACAATGTTGAATAATTATAGAATTTAGGAGAAGACAGAATAAATAAAGCAAAAAAAAATAGAAAATCAAAAATGCGATTGGTGAAGCGCCGAGTGCGAAACTTTCTCTCTGTCTCTCTTTCAACATTTCAAATTCATACGAAATATTAAATAGCGAGAAAGTAAAAGAAAACCAATCGATTTGTAAGTAGGCATCGACGGCGGCGGCGGCGGCGGTGACGACAACAAAAAAAGAAAAGAAAGAAGAAACGTAACGCAAAGTAACGAAAAAAAAATAAAAGAATTTCACATGTAATAAACCGAGAGAAGAATGAAGAGAAAAAAAAACGACAACCGCACCCACAAAAATTTCGTCGATGACCATCAATTTACACAGCGCAAAGATTGCTTTTTTTTAAGTCCACGTACCTGTTTGATTTGGTATTAATGACGGGAAAAACAAAAAAAGGAATGTACTATTAATATAGTTATACAAATAGTAAAATTACATATACAATTATGTAAGTCAATGAACGGGTTTTGAAACATACCAATTCTCATACGGATTTCTCATTAAATATACAATTTATTTTGGTATGTAATGTAAATAATCATCATTTTGTAATATTATGATAATTCAATTCATCAAATCCATTTTTTTTTCCGTTTGAATCATCTTGAACGCAATTGGAGTTCGTCCTTGCACTTTGTGGACTTTTTGGTGCGATATGTGCAGAAGAGAGAGACATAGAAACTGAATGGATTGCAGCCTTGGGCTTTACCATCCCAAAATATGTATAATAATAATGAGACGAAACAAAAATACACACTCAAAATTTTCCTATTAGCACACGACGATTATGCCGAAGGTGGTAACAAAAATTGTGAGCAGCGACCTTCGCTGCAAAATAATCACATTGGTAACCTAGTCAAAAAATAAATAAGAATATATGAAGAAATAACAACTTAAAAAAAAATCCCAAACCGAAGCTGGAGAACTTTTGGTTTCGAATCGAAAGAGAAAAGAAGAGAAAAGTAAGTGAATGAGTAATGATTGCGTTTAGCATATTGAGGAATTCTTGCTGTGCGTGAGGCTGTAACAACAATATTGTGCGATCAATGATAAAAAGTAGGCTAGCAAAGCGGATCCGCGCCGAAGAGCTTCTGCTGCTCTTGAAAATGTTTGTAAAACAATTCGTATTCTCGATCCGTGTGCGTGTATTTCTTTCTATATGTATATATAATTCTACTAACACATGCGACTTTCTCGACTGCTCTATCTTTGTCATAACTTTCTTTTAAAATCATTTATGAGTTTGTGTGTGTGTGTTCGCATACCTCGGAACGACCTGGCCAATTAAAAAGCATTAAATTATAATTATTTTCCTAGTCGCATGAGCACGCATAACTCTATTGAGCTTTTCTCCGATTCTATTCTTGTTTCAAACCTATTTACTACAACCCTTTATTTCAGAGAACGCTTTGGTAAGGAAACAATAGCCTACAGACCTACATTCGACTAATACATCAACTGTTCTTTAACATACATACAAATTGTACTAACATAAAACTAAAGCAATTGAATTAAGTAACTAAAGTTTCCAAAATATTTAGAAATTCCTAGAATTTCAATTATCCTTGTAATTTACATAACAATCTAGTACTTTTTATTATTCTAAATATAAATAAAGTATTAGAAACTTAATTTTTCAAAAGCAAATTCGAAAAATAACTCAAAATTTCAACACTAAAAAAACTGTAAGTTTCGAAAGAATTCCAAGAAAATATGTATAAATCCTCCTACATTTCCAAAAAGTAATCAACAGTAGATTAAAAATATCTAATATCTAATAGAAATACAGAAGGTAAAAGCAAATACGAGTAAAATAATTAATGTTTTAAGCATGGATTATAAATTTCTTAATTA